AGAATTCTCGAAGTTCTAGTGAGAAGCTGTAACTAGTGGAGATAATCCATGTGAGTTAGAGACAACTATCTACCTCAGTACAATGGCAAATGATCGCATAATTCTGTGGATTGGTTGAGGTTAGACATAAACACCTGTGGATGCCGACATGCTCAGTGGTCTAGAGGTTAAGCGTTCCTGCACAAGACTGAAGTTGCTGCGTTCGAATCCCGTAAGAGGGATCGTGGATACGCACTGCTGAGAGGTCTCACAATAGGATGAAATGACTGTCCAGTGATTCCAGGTAATCATTGGTGGTCTAACATCAGTCGATTCTTGTTCTCAATTAAAAGAATATCTTGATTGTAGAGAATAAATATATTCGAATACAAACAACTTACAACCGATCGTTTTAAGTAGGTAAGAGAAATGATAGTACGAGGTTAGAAAAGTAGTACATTGTTCAGGTAGTGCATAAGTGAATTAGATTCATTTTTAATGACAATAAAAACCGTCACAGTTTAACTTGAATCAAAATAAATGTCAGTGTAATCGTTGCTTTATAAGATCATAAGTGTAGAATGATCGGATTAGTAGTGTTAATCGAATACGACATGAAACTCTTAGGATATGATTAACTTAATTACTTACCTCTGTTAAACCTTAACGATGAGAATAGGCCGCCCACAAATATTCTCTGTTCAACACTATCTTAGAAAAAGGTTTCGACTACTTCCTAGTCAACATTCATCCTTACATTTCTGCTTCCAATTCACGATGTATTGTGTACTTCAGCCTTCCACTTTTCCTCTTCCTTTCAGTATTCCAAGTTAGGGATTGCTTCGTGATGCAGTTTGGTGATTTCTCTTATGCGTGTCCTATCCGATTCCAACATCTTTTCCTAATTTCCTCTTCAGCTGGAAGCTTGTTTGCCCTTACCCGGCCAGTCAATGTTGAGTATCTCGCGTACACAGTTATTTATTCACAGTTAGACATTCTTTACGCTCTCTTTTACTAGCTATGTTTTTATTTATAAATTTTTCTGGGTATCCGTTTTCTCTCAGCGTCGTGTATAATGCTTTTGTTTCATCTTCAACCGTATCTCGAGAGCATATGGCAATGATTCTATACTGTAATGTCTTAATCAGGTTTCTTTTGTACTGTAGAGGAACACATCTAAGAAAGTTTGTATACTGACCCATCCACGATGTTTTCCTGTTTATGTTTCTTCTTAATAAACCGTCTTTTCTCCTTGCAAGTAGAACATCGAGAAAAGCTATTCTACCTCCACTTTCCTCCTCACATGTGAATTTTATAGACAGATGAGCTGTATTGAATAGCTGAAGTGTTTCCATCAAGTCAGTATAGTTGTTACATAGGATGAACGTGTCGTCCGTATATCGACAGTAAAGTGAAAACTATCAATCGGTTGTGTCAGTGGGCCGTTTTCGAAAATGAAATAACTGAGTGAAATGGTTCTGAGCGAAATAGCTGTTCAATCAATCTAGAACAGTAATTTTTTTAATAGTGTGATTATAAGTCATTTGATGAAAAACGTATTTTCAGAATGAGGCAAATGCATTGATATATCAGTATGGGGTTGTGGAGATTAGTAAGTATTCGATTCAGATAATGAATCAATTGATGTCAGACCATCACTGAAAACATTGAAATACTAGACAGTCGTTTCATTCTAGTATGGGACTACTCAGCAGTGCGTATACACGACCCCCTCCCCCTAACGGGATTCGCACCAGGGCCCTGCTGTCTTGCACAGGATCGCTTAATCTCTAGACCACTGTGCCTGACAGCATCCAACGGTGATGGACGAAACTTCTGTTCATTTCTTTCAACTTTTTAGTGATTGTATAGCTCCCATCGATACATTATCTCAATCAAGAAAAAATATATATTCTATCAAAGTATAATGAATCAATAGAACTTGACACTACCGTTTGGATTTTGTTCGTCATCATCTAAATGTTAAAAGTAGACTGGAATAAATTTGTCTGATCAAAAGAAATGTCGGTAAAATACTGCCGAAATGTGTATTATTTTGTTAGAGAAAAGTCGCTAGAATCATATATAAATAGAATAATTAACTGAACTGTTATAAGTAGTATGTCTCAGATACCTATGCTAATGTAAATATAAATGGGTTTGAGGATCAAAATTGATTTTTAATTAATTATATATTTCTATGTATTTATCGATAAATATCATAATGTATGGAATAATACTATAAGTAGTCTATTCAGGCAATCAAGATTCCATCACATGTATAAGAATTCCAAGTTTAATTTTTTCTAAAATGTGAAAGAAAAATTTTCGAAGAATTTCGATTGCTTCGTAGGTAATTAGTTTTTCTGTTTCTATTAAGTATGAAACTATCTTTGACCTATTTTTAAGATCCTAATCGTTAACCTATGATACATGAACTCATTTCAAACGTTATGTGTCAGGCACAGATACAACAATTCAGCCCCCAAATACCCTGGTACGGCCGAGAGTGAAGAGGGGCTCGCCCTCGTTCTCGAAATGCTCTCACATGGCCACGCGTATATAGCCCCTGACAGGGAAGTCCTACTCACTACTTCTCGCATCACGGGTGTTGTTTACAAAATTGAGAGGACAAAAAGTGAATTTCCGGCACTTTAACCGGGTTGGCGCACTTCGTGATTCCACATAGGAAAGTTGGAAAACCCTCATTCCAAACCAATGATGCACATGGGCTAACTCCAGTATCCTGAAGGAAGGAATGGTGTATGAATCAATCGTTGGTCACCGGCTACCATGAGACTGCATCTCCTCACGATGCTTCACTGTCTTGTGGATCAGATCATTATGTCAAAGACTCTGAATGTGGGCTCTTGAGAAAAACACCTGCATCGGTTCGGGCACCCGTGCGGTATCACAGTCTTCAAACAAATCAAATGAGATTTGTTCGGCATATATATATCTGGTTCTCCTTTTCTACCGATATTTATGTGTTTAAATAAATAAATAAATGTATCTGTTACAGAATCACAGTAATAAATGTAACCATTACAGATAAATAAACGCATTAACACATTGATAAGTCTTTAGATTATTATCACTTAGGATTTTTCTAATTTCCTGCAATATATATTTAAGGTCTGACTGAGATAATTACAGAGGTAATCCATTCTTTCAAAAGACATTTCGATTCCAGTCTACACTCATTTTTCATTATCTTTTTTTTATAAACGTTACAAAGTGTTCACCTGCCAAGGAGTATAATAAGTTTAAGGTGAATTTGGAATGTTTCTACTTTTTTCTCTTAGAAGATAAATAGTTATGGTAACCAGATTTCTAACATCTACCACTTGTGATGATAAAGCTCGTGCTGGTCCAAAATTCAGATGATTCTTTGAATATGTTCATATTTGAAACATACTAATATTCATATTCATTTTGTAATGTTTGTTTGCATGCTTCCATTGATGCTAAGAAGTGCAAGTGATCTGTCCCAATGGTGGTTTGACATCAATGGATTCATGATATCAATAGAAAATGTATTAATCTCCACAACCCCATACTGTTACATCTATGCATTTGTCTCATTATGAAAATACATTTTTCATCAAATGACTTATAATCACACTATAAACTAAATTACTGTTCTAGATTGATTGAACACCTATTTCGCTGAGAACTATTTCACCCAGTTATTTCACTTTTTTAACAATTATTATTCTTCCTAATAATCACTTCTCTTGTAGACGCTGAACTATCACGTCTTCTCTAAAATACGCTGTAAACCGATCCTACGTAAGCATCAGGTACCGAACTTAGCGCCGTGACCATAAAAAACCCGCGAAAGCTTCTGATTGACTCGTCCATAATGTTTAGTCCCGCCGACATTTCTCCTCTCACCACTTACGTATATATACAATATGTTATCTTATTACACTTATCATTTCACACCACAAGTCTCTTAAACACTAATACGCATACCTAGTTTAGACATTTGTAACTTTGATTGGATGACCTATTCAGTGTACAATGAGAGAGATTAAGCGTTCCTGTGCAAGACTGCAGGTCTCTGGTGCGAATCCCGTTAGATGAGTCGATGTTACGCAATGCTGAGAAGTCCTATGATAGGAAGAAACGACTATCTAGTGTTTCAAGGTTTTCAATGGTGGTCTGCCATCAATTGATTCATGATCTCAATAGAAAATGTATTAATCTCCACAACCCCATACTGTTACATCTATGCATTTGTCTCATTATGAAAATACGTTTTTCATCAAATGACTTATAATCACACTATAAACTAAATTACTGTTCTAGATTGATTGAACACCTATTTCGCTGAGAACTATTTCACCCAGTTATTTCACTTTTTTAACGATTCTTATTCTTGACATTAGCTTGGATCGAATCCCTCAACAACAAGTCAGAATAATTTACCAGATACTGGGTGTTCGATTTCTGTGATGAAAGTTCTTTCAAAAATAAGTGCAATAATCAAAATTGAAGGTTATGAATCTATATCAATCCACTGAAATTTATTTCATCTACTAAACAATCTAGGTGTTGCATCTGCAACATAGAATTCTTCGTCTATCGCACGATATTTGAGCACTCCAACGCTAGAACCCTCCCAAGTCACAAATCAGAAAGCAGAAGACAAGTAAAAGGAATGTTATTCCAAAAAGTGTCGATTATGGTACAAAATTGTCAGATATTTATAGTTTTTAGTAAAAACAAAATCATCATTATGGTTATCCAATCCGAACACAGGGGGTTGTTAGCATTGTACAATAGGGAAGCTCCACGTAGCAATTCTATAATATTATTCCAAAAGCTGATTGAATGGAATATGTCAAGCTCTTTCTGAGCTTCTAAGAGCTTCCTCGACTTCACCTGTGCACCATACTCACACTAGGTTACAATTGTGCATAGTAGTTTCATTGATGTTTGATTGAGTATTTTACGTCATTCGAAAATTTCGCTCATCAACCGACCACGATTGAAAGCCTACAGGTTACAATTAGTTACAAGAAAGGCCAATGTTTACGTTTACCGAACAAAGCTGAATTGAAACAGACAATGTAAACTCCTTGAACATCTACAGTGAGATGATGTTTCATTTTACCTGAATACTACTGTGATGTGTGCTATTGATGTCGACATATATGAGTAGTATTTATGACCAATCGAAAATAAAATGGTTGGTGGCATAGTTTAAGAAGATCAAGGAGGAGAGAATGAAAGGAATGAATGATTGGTATGGAAACGAAAGAACAATGAAGTGTGAGACGATTGAATGATATTTGCAAGATGAATAGTCAAGATTGAGACAAATGATTGACATACTGCAAATGAATTATTTAGTGTGTGATTCTCAGATTTTACTAAACGGTTGTGTAATTTTGTGTTCAGATATATTCGATTGTCCCCATTTGTATTCTCGTTCACTACACTACTACTAACTTACATCTTGACATCGGTTGATATTCGAGTTGATGTACAGATGGTAAAATGGTAATAATTACTCTCTCACAAATAATCGAATTGGAAACTGTTATCTGAAAGTAACAATATTTAGTAGACATCATTGGTCACCATAACTAATGTAACAGTAGCCTCTGAATCAATAGGCCTCAAAATACACAAAGGATAAACAATATTCCTGAATACAACACGGAGAAAACCAATCCAATCACATTTGATGGCAAAACACCGGAAGATGTGGAAACATTCACGTACCTGGGAAGCATCATTGATGAACAAGAAGGATCTGATGAAGAATTAAAGACAAGGATCGTCATGGCAAGGACCAAATTCCTGCGATTGAAAAACATATGGAACTCAAGACAACTGTCAACTAATTTCTATGAACTGCATAACAGTCCTACTATTCGGAGCTTAATCTAGAGAACTAAGAAAGCCATCATCCAGAAAGTACAAGTATTTATATACAACTATCTACGCAAAATACTGAACATTCACCGGCCGGATACGATCGGTAACAGCGTCTTATGAGAGAGGACAAACGAACTTCTAGCTGAAGATAAAATTAGGAAAAGATGTTGGAAGTGGTTAGGACACACATTGACGAAATCATAATACTGCATCACGAGGCAATCTCTAAGTTGGACTTCTGAAGGAAAGCGAAAAATTGGAAGGTCGAAGAAGACACTATGTCGTGAATTGGAAGCAGGTATGAAAAGGATGAATGTTAATTGGAAAGAAGTGGAAACGATTGTCCAGGACAGGGTTGGATCGTAATTGCTTGTGGGCGGCCTATTCTCATCGTTAAGGTTTAACAGAGGTAAGTAATTAAGTTAATCATATCCTAAGAGTTTCATGTCGTATTCGATTAACACTACTAATCCGATCATTCTACACTTATGATCTTATAAAGCAACGATTACACTGACATTTATTTTGATTCAAGTTAAACTGTGACGGTTTTTATTGTCATTAAAAATGAATCTAATTCACTTATGCACTACCTGAACAATGTACTACTTTTCTAACCTCGTACTATCATTTCTCTTACCTACTTAAAACGATCGGTTGTAAGTTGTTTGTATTCGAATATATTTATTCTCTACAATCAAGATATTCTTTTGATTGAGAACAAGAATCGACTGATGTTAGACCACCAATGATTACCTGGAATCACTGGACAGTCATTTCATCCTATTGTGAGACCTCTCAGCAGTGCGTATCCACGATCCCTCTTACGGGATTCGAACGCAGCAACTTCAGTCTTGTGCAGGAACGCTTAACCTCTAGACCACTGAGCATGTCGGCATCCACAGGTGTTTATGTCTAACCTCAACCAATCCACAGAATTATGCGATCATTTGCCATTGTACTGAGGTAGATAGTTGTCTCTAACTCACATGGATTATCTCCACTAGTTACATCTTCTCACTAGAACTTCGAGAATTCTTTCACAACGCTAGTCACTAATAAGCATATGACAATAATCAGTATGGTGTTGTGGTGACAAATGAAACTGATTCCAAATGTGATTAACTAACTTATTGTATAGTAATCAATTGGATTAGTTAGCATAAACAACAACAACAACAACAACCATTTTGTGATTGTGAAATAAGCAATTTATTTACAATAGTTGATGATTACATAATACAAATCCATTTTGTAATGTACAACATTCAATCAATCCATAATGGTACACAATGAAACAATCAAAGAAAATATAATACAACTAGTTAATGAGAAGAAGAAGAAGAAGAATAGAATAAGGATAAGTATGATAAAGTAAGAACACTGATGAATGGATCACTGGAACTAATAGAAATGATGTAAATATATAAAGATACAAGGAGATAATGTAACGAGATCTGCAATACGGATAGATAATCCATTGAATCAATCAATCAATCAATCAATTATTATCCCTAATTAAGGATTCATCTTATTATGACTCATGTGTACTGAAACATTCAAAGTTATAGATGAATGATCATTTCTATCTACTGGTTACATAATTGATGTTACTTAGGTAAACGAGATCTTATTAAAATGGTTACTATTTGATAATTACACTACAAGACTACCCTTAACTACGAATAGGAATATTCTATCCACTGTAAATAACAGTAGTAATAATAATAATAATATTCACAAACTTTAATTACTCTGATTATATAATATGCTAAGTGTGTGTGTGTGTGTGATTGGTTGACTTACCACAACAGACTTTTCCACCAGTCATTTGTTCACTTGTATCATTGTATATTACAGTTACTCCCATGACACCACTATAAAGTGAACACCATCTTGGACGATCCTGTATAAATACCAAACAAATTTATGATGAATGTAAGGAAAATGTTTTTCTTTTCCCCATACACATTCAGAAAATACTTAGTAAGTAGTATAAAATGACATAATATAGATTGTGAATTGTTCACTTGAATGAAACATAAAGTGTGTAATTTGTGTGAGGGTTGTGATACAGTCTTGGTGCCCATAATGATACAGGTGGTTTTCTTAGGAAGCCACACCTGGAGACTTACACCTAAAGGTCTGATCCACAACGGAGTGGAGCAATATCAGGAGATGCCATCCCATGATAGCCAGTGACGAACAATAGGTTCATACAACATTTGTGTTCCTTCAAGATCCTGTAGCCTATGTGCACCATTGGTATGGAATCAGGGTTTCCCAACTCCCGTAGGTGGACCTTTCGTGTCCATCAACCCGGTTAAAGCATCGGACATTCCCCTTTCGTTCTCTCAATTTCGTAATCAGCACTCTCGGAGATTGAAGGCAGTGATTAGGACTTCCGTTGTTGTTGCTGTATACGGTTGTTCATGTGAGGGCATTTGGAGAGGTAGAGCTGACTCTCTCCACCCTCGGTCGTACCAGGTCTTTCGGAGGCACAGAAGAGTGAACGAAATATAGGATAATACTGGAAAAGTGAAAATCTGATACGAAGTATGCTACATATTCATTGAAGTGACATTCTCCATGTCGTAGGTTTTCCGGCTTGAAACAATTATATCCATCATGACTTTTCCGATGAATTAATAAACATTTAAAAAATTAATCATCAATGTTTCACTTTGGGAATATAATCGAATATCTGTCTTAGTTTCAAAATATTCGGACACTCCATGAATTTCACCATCGATATACATTGGTAGCATCATCTAAGGGAGTTTCAACTGATGAGAAAATCAGTGCTTTTCTAATCATCCTCTCTTACTGTTATATATGATATTAAATTAAAACTATTTATGGTATATATTGAACTTACAACAATATATGAAAACGTTAGGCAGTTGGGATTGAGTTCACATTCATCTGCACAATTGATTGTAGCATTGATTTTATTGAGGAAATATGTACTGATGAATTTATTATCCGGTAATCCTGGTTTCACTACATAACACGTTTGATTACATTGCATGAGCTTTGTACAATTGGGGCATGGGAGACACGGCGATATGATATTTCCAAGATTTTTGATATCAGCTGAAGTAGAAAAATGTGAAGAGGTCTTACATCGTATGAAATAATTAGAGACTGTGGTAGAGAATATTCATTAATGAATGTAGAAATTAAATACGTTTTCCTATTCTACATATTGCTGACGCTATCGGAATCCATGTACACAAAACCTAACTTTTGTATCCCAATGAAGTTTGTGCAATCACTCATACACACTCACACACATACGCTCTATTTCTAATTTGTCCAACTATGTAGGAATAAGTATTCAGCTAAACTTCGATTAAACTGTTTCCTACAAAAATATTTCAACTATTTTCCAATTCCTGACACATGTGTCTCTTCATTCTGAGGTAATCACTTCAATACTGACCTATGAGTTAGCGAGCGAACCTGATTCATACATAAGTAACTGATCATATAGATTTATTGTACAAACCAATGTGTCAATGTATACACATGGTGAATTGAAGCAGAATCATTACATGTTTACTGTAATAGACCCATTATGAAAAATATTGCTGCTCAAACCAAAGTGAATGCATGTTCATGTAAGGTGTTCATTACCTTTCAATAAATTATTACTTATCAATTTCGTCTTTGTTTAACTAATTCTTGTCATTAAACATTTAATTAACATTGTCATCAAACACGTAGTCAAAACATTGAACCGATTGATGTTAGGCTACCATTGAAAACCTGGTAGGAGTGGACGATCGTTTCGTCGTACTGTAGCGTTCTTCAACAGTGTGCATCTACGATCCCGCGCAATTTTGTGGATTGGTTGAGATTAGACGTGAACATCGTTAGATGTCTTTAGGCTCAGTGGTCAAGAGGTTACGCGTTCGCTCGTGAAATTCAAGGCCGTGTGTTCAAATCTCACGATCGAGATTGTGGATGTGCACTGCTGTGACGAAATGCCCGTCCAGTGTTACCAGGTTTTCGATGTTGATCTAACATCAGTCGATTCATGATCTCAATCAAAAACATAATAATTTCCATAACACCATAATGAAAATAATTGAGAATTACTGCAACATATTCTTGTCCCAATTTCGAATGCTGTACGATTGTACAATTCACCAAGTGGGTTAACGGGCTTTGAATATAAAGTGCATTGTGTTGGAGAATCCTAAGAAAAGCATCAAAATGGAAAGCGAATAATAAGATTAATAATTTATGATGATGAGATTATGATTAACAACAATATTGAATGAAATTTTCAAGGTTTCTTGAAATGTATTGCTCACATCTACAGTGAGTGATATATGTACAGTTGATCTGACATAGATGATCATCGAGAACTCATTCATTTACTTAATACTGTCCAACCAGATGTTTAAACAAAAATACACAGATTCATTTCAACTTACAGTTGGACTTGTGAATGAAAAGCATACAGGATTCGATAGACATTCATTTAAGCAAGATGATGAAGTTCGAACTACACCCAGAGTATAGTTATCTATAAATGACTGATTCGGTAGTCCCCATGCACCTATCCATCTTGAGTAATTACAAGACATATTCGTAATACAGTTCGTACACCATTTACATGTGGATAACATCGATATGTCTCTTCTTGTATTTGACTGTGTATGATAACAAGCGAAAAGGTAAATTGAAATGTAAATGTGAATAATGAATAAATGTTTAGTCATTTGAAGTAAGTTAGAATGTGTGAACGATTAATATAGATACGATAAGATATAACTCAACAACCATGATGTTCATTGAATTTCAGGTGTTTAAATAGTTGTACGACATGAGCATACTGACCAATCAGATATTTGCTAGTAGCTTGTAATTTGATTTCATCCAATGGGAGGAGAGTATATATCTGAGTATTTGTAAATTTATTATATTGTGGTGTGTGCTACTGATATCGACAAACATAAGTAGTATATATCATCAATTGGAGGTGAAATGCCTGATGATGATGAAGTTTTTTATCAATGAATAAGTTGTGAATGATTTGCAATATGAATTATGATGAACGAGAAATGATTTGAAAAAGAAGAGGAAATTAAAGTCTACCGTTTTGACATTGTTTTCAATAAACATTGAACTAATTTCATCTTCTGTTGATGTGGCTACTGAAATGTCATAAACTCTTTTTACAAAAATAATATACACAGACATGTAAGTGTGCTTGTTAAGTTGTGCTTAGAATGATGAAACGATTAACAGTTATCAGAGGAATGTTTATGTAACAAATGACTACACGGATAATAAGCTGAGCTGGTGATGGTTGGCAGTGGAATCCAGGAAGCACGTTTCGTTTTATTTGGGACTCGTCAGCCGGATGTATTTGCATCTCAAAGTTGTTCACTCTGAGGAAATCTGGGACCCGAACCCAGTATTGTTCCTAACCTACAATCGATATTGTCAGAGATATAATAGAATGAAACCATTTGATTTCACCTTATATACAGAATATTCATTAGTAAATGTATTCATTAATTGCAACTACTACTGTACTATGGGTTACTTATTGTTCGAGGCGGCCTGTTTAAACATCTAGGGTACCTGTTCCTGTCATCTAGATATTTCAACAAGTTATCTAATTTCATTTGTTTTAATACATCATTATGCCTATTATTCGCACAACCTATTCAGGTGTGTTTCTGAAAAGTGTAAGACCTTTCGCTGTGGAGGTTACAGAAGGCCTAATTAGATATATCGTGGTTGCTGGCAATATGCAGGGAGAAGAATGTACATTATCCAGATGTCGATTGACTGAGCTGCTAACTTCTAACTGGCGATCACTCAATATTTATCATCAGGAAGGACGAAGAAGTAAGAAACGGAAACTTTTTGAAGTACTTTGTGCTGAGAATTCTATATTGTACCAAAAATATAATATTGAATAAAGCTAATGATAATAATTATTATTATATCTACATAAGTAATATATAACGATGATCAGGCATAAAAATGTATTTCAGTAGACGACGGATAATGAAAGAACGGGAACGAAATGTAATTGATATGAAAATGTATGAACAATAATAATAATCGGAGACTATGGATAGATATTTGTAGAAGGAACAATCAAGATTGAGATAATTGATTGATAGTTTGCAAATTAACTGTTTACTGTATGGCTGTCAGATTTTAGTGAGATATTCTGTAATTTTATACCCAAATACATTCGATCGTCCTCACTCGTGTTCTTGTTCACTACACTACATTTAACAATTTTACAAGCAAGTGTCTATCAAGACTCAGTAGATGACTGCATAGTGCGATAGCGTTTGAAGCAAACGGTACTGGGTTCAAGTCCCAGAATGGACATCAACTCTGAGATGCAGGTACATCCATCTGACGAGTCACAAATAGGACGAGACGCGCATCCTGGATTCCACTGTTAGCCACTATCCAACTCTGCTTACCATGTTCACTGTATGATTGTCAGATTTAAGTTAAATGCTCTGTAATTTTATGCTTGAATACATTCGATTGTTCTCACTCGTGTTCTTGTTCACTATACCAAATTTAACAATTTTACTTAGTAGCTATGTGGATAACGCCGTACTGGGTACTAATTCCGGAGTGAACGTTAACCTAGATGCAGGTACATCCCTCTGATGATTCCCGAATAGGACGAAACGCGTGTCCTGGATTCCACTGCTAGCCACTATCCAACTTTGTTTATCATTGTTTGTATTGTATTTGAATTGTATTTCAGCTTTTGTACACTATGTATACACAATAGAATAATGAAACATGTACAATATATACTTTGCATCATTTTTGTTCATTCAATACAATAAAATGTCATATTTCTCTATTTGAGTTATATTATGAATGTTAGTTTAGGGTACATGCAACAATAGAATGAAGTGAATTCATTATTGTGAATAGATGGAAAGGAGGGAAAGTGTAGGATACATTTGTGAAAGACAATTGAATCTATTCCATCATTCATCATTGTTTCTAACCTCACTAATTACAATACAATCTATTAAAGTAGTGCTACACTACTGTATTTTAATCACTTCTTCATTATACCATATAGTAGATACAGTTTATTGTAGTTTCTATAGGTAATATAAGTGATATGACCTTAGTAAATGTACTTACAACTATGTGTGTAAGTGAGTGTGTGAGTACTACGAATTGAGTATGCGATAATAATACATACAGTATTATTGTATGATGCTTAGGTCAAACTACCCATTTTAATTAAACAATGGAGATAAAAGAGAATGTATGATATTACTATTCTTACTATTACAGGGAAGTGAATTCGTTCTTTATCAAACTCCTTACAAGAATTCCTTCTCAATATACGTATTAATGAAATGACACCAGTAAATATAAACAGTGTTCATAATGTATTTATGTAGTTACTATTCTGAAGAAGCAATCCAGTCGGAATACATGTATAAAAACATATACATAGTGGTTGGTTGTTGTATTTTAAAACGTGTGTGCTTACGAATAACTACAATGTTTTTGGTATAATTTGTGAATATTTTATTATGAGTATGGGGATTTATGGAGATTGCAGTATTTGACCGGTTAAATTCTCGAGTTGATCTAAGCAATACAACCAATAAAATCTAATCATGGAACGTCTGAATTTAGACACCAATACTTTTGGATGCCGGCTCAGTAATCTTCCAATGTCTTCTGAAGACATTAGAAGAATCTTAAATATTCAAAATATAAGAGTATTTTTTTCCAACAAACAATACTCTAAGATCAAAATTAGTAAGAATTAAAGATACAATCCACAAAGAAGAAGAACAACAGTGTTGTATCTATGAAATCAGATGTAGTGACTGTAATGCAACGTATGTAGGTGAAACATCAAGGCAGCTGAATATGAGGGTGAAATGCTTGAAACACATTCCTAGATCTTCAAATGATGTAAGGAAACTGGAGAACAAGTCAGTGTTAGCATTACATTCTATAGAATCAGGTCATACAATTGATTTCGTTGGTATAAGAATCATTCAAAAAAGATTTCAATTCTTACAAAAAAAAGACAAACATCTGAAGCCCTGTACATAAGGACTAATCTAAACAATATTAATAGGAGGAATGGAATGCAATTAGCAGTGCCATAGCAGCTAATCATTAATAAGTAAAAACTTGAACTCCTTACCGTTTGCTTTTTATCTATCTCGTATTATCTAAATGACAACAATTACATTCAATGATTCTAATCCAGTTGTCTTATTGGAATTGGTTAAACAATTAACTGGAACACATATTGTTAAGTGAGATTATAAAGTTTATCTAGGAGCTCTAGTGAGAAGCAGTGACCAGTGGAGTTCAAAACCACGTCTGTTGTGAGATAGGAACTCACTGAAGACAATTGGTGAACGGTTGCTCAACTTCGTGGATCAGTTGAAGTTAGACATTAACACCATTGGATACCAGCTCAGTGGTCTATCGGTTAAGGGCTTCGGTTCGAGACTGGTAGGTCCTGGGTTCGAATCTCGCGCGAGCGGGTTCGTGGATGCGCACTGCTGAGGAGTCCCATAATAGGACGAAACGGCCATCCAGGTTTTCCATGGTGGTTTAGCTTCAATTGACTCATGCTTTCTACTATGAAAGTTAATAAAGCCAAATAGCTTACTTGTTCCGACTTTGACGAAACCAAGACTCTGTATTCGACAGTATAGAGAATAGCTTAAAGTTACCCCTGTAGGAAATTGCTTCCTACACATATTCCGGTTCAAATTACATTCTTCCTCTTCAAAATCTCACTTTTTTATTCTGTTCAATTATTTTCATTTTATACATGCTATGACATATATGTTTTCTTATAAATTCACCGATATCAATGAAGTTTCGGTGAGACTTTTGATCGAATTTTAAATGACCTTGAGAAATATTAGTCAATCAGAAGACAGTAAAAATATATATTATACAAAACTAAAAAAATTAAAGCGGATACTGTTCTTTTATATGGTCCAAAACTTTTTCGAGGTAAGAAAGAGGTTCAAAGGTGCTATAATCGTAATGTATAAGGTAGAGGAACTCATCTATAGGGCTCTACAGTAGTCGGACTCTGGACCTATGATAAGGTCTCAAAAACTCTCTAAGCCTCAACCACATAGCTTTAATGTTGTTAGTATGTTGGTATGGTATAGGGTTAAGGTTTAGGGTCTTAGGGTTTGAGATTAGGGTTAAGGTTTAGGGTTAGGGTTATAGTTTTAGGGTTTGGGTTAAGGTTTACGGTTACGGTTAGGGGTTCAGGGTTACGGTTAAGGTTTAGGGTCTTAACCTTAATCGTGATCGAGCGAAAAAAGTCATTTGAGTACCACAGTCACGAGTATAGGAACTTCCTAATAATCACTTCTCTTGTAGACGCTGAACTATCACGTCTTCTCTAAAATACGCTGTAAACCGATCCTACGTAAGCATCAGGTACCGAACTTAGCGCCGTGACCATAAAAAACCCGCGAAATCTTCTGATTGGCTCGTCCATAATGTTTAGTCCCGCCGACATTTCTCCTCTCACCACTTACGTATATATACAATATGTTATCTTATTACACTTATCATTTCACACCACAAGTCTCTTAAACACTAATACGCATACCTAGTTTAGACATTTGTAACTTTGATTGGATGACCTATTCAGTGTACAATGAGAGAGATTAAGCGTTCCTGTGCAAGACTGCAGGTCTCTGATGCGAAT